TGTGTGTGTGAAGTCAACAGGGAGCTGACCTGAAATTAAAACCAAGAATGTATTCTTTTTTTTTAATTTTATTTTATTATGTTATGTTAATCACCATACATTACACCGTTAGTTTTTGATGTAGTGTTCCATGATTCATTGTTTGCGTATAACACCCAGTGCTCCATTCAATACGTGCCCTCTTTAATACCCATCACCAGGCTAACCCATCCCCCCCAACCCCCCTCCCCTCCAGAACCCTCAGTTTGTTTCTCAGAGTCCATAGTCTCTCATGGTTCATCTCTCCCTCCAACTCCCCCCCTTCATTTTCCCCTTCCTACTATCTTCTTTTTTTTTTTTTTTTTAAACATATAACGTATTATTTGTTTCAGAGGTACAGGTCTGTGATTCAACAGTCTTGCACAATTCACAGCACTCACCATAGCACATACCCTCCCCAATGTCTATCACCCAGCCGCCCCATCCCTCCCACCCCCACCACTCCAGCAACCCTCAGTTTGTTTCCTGAGATTAAGAATTTCTCATATCAGTGAGGTCATATGATACGTGTCTTTCTCTGATTGACTTATTTCGCCCAGCATAATACCCTCCAGTTCCATCCACGTCGTTGCAAAGGGCACAATTTCAGTTTTTTTGATGGCTGCATACTATTCCATTGTATATATACACCACATCTTCTTTATCCATTCATCTGTCGATGGACATCATGGTTCTTCCCACAGTTTGGCTATTGTGGACATTGCTGCTATAAACATCGGGGTGCACTTACCCCTTCGGATCCCTACATTTGTATTCTTAAAGCACAGAAACAGATGATAGGGAGTAGCACAGCACTGCTGTGTTGCCTTTTGCTAAGGTAGTATGATAAGTCTATTCCTCTTTAATGGAACTCCAGAACCCCTGGTGAAGCAATTCAAAAGACCAGGCTGTTTTATGGCCTGAATGAGCCTTTCTCATCGTACAAGTCATATGAGGGCATTTTGGGTTTCTGGTGACAAAGCAGATTTCTCCATAATAACAAACTTTCTAAAATGGCCTTTCCTCACTTATATGTCCAGAAATTCTGTCGGCATGTGGTACTGCAGAAATGTGAACTAAGGTAAGCCTAGGTGGGTCACTTCAGGAGCCCCTGGGTCCCCTCTTGCTTTGGATCATTAAGGATGATTACCCCAAACAGACTTTGAGAAACTCCGCAGCCCGTGGCCTTTAGGAGCATCCAGACAGGCACAATTAACAGGGCAGATGACAGAGAGGCAGTAGCATTTGTATGAGTAGTCTGTATTTAACATGAAGCAGCTTTAGACTCACCAAAGGGTCCAGAAAAGAGAGATCCAATTAGGTCATCCACAGAGCCCAGAAAATGTGTTGCTTCTGGGGGCAAGATCACCTGCTCTGTCTTGGGCCAAGGTCTCAATGTTTATGCCATCACTGCACAGATTAGGTGGCATGTTTTCAAAGGAGGCATACCTGGAAAAACGTCTCCAAACTGCAAAGTTTATAGATCTAAAATCCAAATTAAATTATTGCATAGAAAACTGACATTCTTCCTTTAAAAGTAAAGCTGTTCAGATTCAGTACTCATTCTTCCTTGACTATTACATCATGGGGCCCACTGTGTACTAATTTCTTGAGCCCAGGTGACATTCTAGGCACAAAATATGAGCACAGAGAGCTCTGATTTGTGCCCAGTTCCTTGAAACCTTATATAATTTCTGGATAAAGTTCAAGTGGTTAAATAACCATCTATTTAATACTCTCCCCAAACATTTCAGTTCATCTGAAGATGTTAAGTAGAAATGTGTATTTTAGAGCTACTCCTTGAATATATTTAAGGTGACTAAGAATTTCCCTTTCATTTTTTTTTTTAAGTTTATTTATTTATTTGAGAGAGAGACTGAGAGAGAGCATGAGAGGGGGGAGGGTTGGGAGGGTCAGAGGGAGAAGCAGGCTCCCTGCCGAGTAGGGAGCCCGACGTGGGACTCGATCCCGGGACTCCAGGATCATGACCTGAGCCGAAGGCAGTTGCTTAACCAACTGAGCCACCCAGGCGCCCGAATTTCCCTTTCAAATAAAAGTAATAGAGATTTCATAACTGGAGACTGGATATTTAGTTTAAGAAAGTAGTCATGAGCCAGGACATGAAATAAAAAAAATAACATTAAGATTTTTTGGTGTTTTTGTGCCTCTTTAAACTTAAATTGGGGTTTACTGACTATTGAACTCTTACCTTTATTCTAAGATCTTTCTTAAAAAGAAAGCTGTCCATGTACCCAAGCACAGATGATTTTTTTAATGACCAATCTGAAAGAGTTTTAGGCACTTTTTCTCAAAGTCAGCTACATCCATTTGGCAGTGAGCACTGGCTGAAAGTACCTGATGGCAGCATTGTCTTTGGTAATCAGAGAGAATGGGTCTAGCTGCTGCAAGGTTTCCATCATGAAAGCTCGTTCATTGGGAGGAAATCAGGTGGTTCCTCTTTGCTTCTCTTAATTGGGCCAGCAAACTTTAGGCAAAGGCAGTTTTGTTAGATGTTGAGAAACCAAAACTTGTGAAGCTTATCCCTGGCCGGGTCATTTCAAAGAGATAGAATACCTGCAAGAAAGGAAAGTGGACTGATGTGCTGCTGGACTATTTCTGAGAATGGATTGTGTCTCAGGTGGCTTCTGAGAGACTGGGTGAATTGCTACTTTCCTGTCCCAGTATAACACTTCTGATGGGTGGTGACATTACTGAAAGATGCCTTCCCATCAGACATCAGCTTCTACAACCCCTGGTTTAAAAAAAAAAAAGAAAGAAAGAAAAAAAGAAAGAAAGTAAAATGAGCCTACAGGGAGAAGCAAAGTCTATGTATCTTCAAATGAAATCTCTAAGTGTATAAACAAGAGCTAGATTATTTGGAGTGGTTGCCTTGAAAGATACCAAAGCACCTTTCCCAGAGTTTTAGTGTCTCAGCTTGAATTGCTATGCTGAGTACATTTGATGATGTTGTCTTACTCTGTCCATGGTCTGTCGCATTGGTCATGTGCTTGATCAATTTGCAGTTTGAAAATAGAGGCTAATCGAGTTCTCTAATCAGTTGTTGTTGGTAGCGGTTGTTGATGGTGATGTTTTGGTGGGTGTGTGTATGCAAGATGGGGCGAGGGAGGAGAGAGATTGAGATTGCAATTTGGCCTGATGATTGTTAGTACAACTTTTATTGTGTGGTCAAGTAGTAAACTTGGCCATAGCCTACAAGAAACAGCCCTTAGAGTTTGCTGCTGGAAGTCTTCCCAACAGGAGAGGACTACAGACATATCCACTGAATGGTGAGAGCATGAGTTTGGACTGAACACCAACATTTTAGTTGTAGGTCGGCCTCCCACTACAGCCTATTTCTGGGCAAGTCTTCGATTACTGCAGGGCCCCGATTTTCTCATCTCTAAAATGATAAAGTTGAACTAGACGATCTCAGAACTTTCTGGCTGTGGGGCTCTATGACTAATTGTTGAGATCCATAATAGCAACCTTATAGTCTGTGCTTATTTAGCCACAGTGGGTGGTTCTCATGAAGATGAGCACATCTGAATAAACCATGGCTCATTTCAGGAGCAGAGGCTGAAGCCTGCAGAGCTTACGGGGCTGTAGCAGTGAGAGTTTCCGGGCCATCTGAGTACAAGGATAAGAACTAAACATGACATTCCAGAGTAAACTTAGACTGTAACCTCTTTACCTATTTTCCTCTAATTATAAGAGTGATAAGTACCCATTGTGGAAATTAAGAAGGTGTATATTAGAAAGAAGAATATCACAATTCACCCTGATTCCACTAAATAGGAAGAACCATCATAGCATTTGGCAAATTTCCTTTTCTGTCTTTTTCCTGTGCATATTTTGGATAGCTAGGTACACTTATTTAGGTGGGTAGAATTTACTGTGCTATTTTCATTTAACATTATAGCAAAAGTATTTTCCCATGTCATTAAGAAATACCTCCTCATAAGCAGCATCATTATCATTTGTTCTAAGTAATCTAAGATAGAATATTAAGGGCTAACCATTATTGAGCATGGAATATACCAGATACTGTGCCAGGTGCTTAACATGCTTATTCATTCTTGTATTACCCCTATGAGATAGGTACTGTTAATATCCCCTATTTTTTAGATAAGCTGAAGCTCAGAGAAGTTCCATTACTTGCCCGTGGTTACCAGGTGGCACAGCTGAAATTTGAACTGAGGTCTTTCTTACTGTTCTCTTAATTGCTGCACTATGTTTAACAATTTTTCTATTATCTGATACTTCCCCTTCTATTTCCTGTAAGTAATAATGTATTAAATATTTTGGCATAAATGTTTCTGTGTTTTGCATTAAATCTTTAGGTTAGAATTCTAGAAGTGGGGTTATTGGTTCAAAGAATCTAAACTTTTTACATACACTCAGAATATATTTTCTTTGATTTTTTTTTATTTCACAAAGAATTTCCATTTGATATTTTCTGTGATGATGCTTTGCTTTTTTTAGTGTAACATGATTACCTCACTTAATTATTGAATCTGATTCTTCACTTTGCAATTTTAATTTGGTTTTTGAAAAAACTCACAAGGAATTCTTCTGCTTCCCCAGTTGTACTAGAAACAATGCATTTTATTTTAGAGACTGATGGCACCTTTTTTTTTTTTTTAAACTTTGTGTATTTAGTAACCTGACTGGCTTTCATGGGCAAATCAGGGAGATTTGCAGCAATTCTGGAAAATCAGATATCTGTAGCAGCAGGTTATGTTCAAGAAATTTTTATTTGGGAATGTGAGAAGAGAAATTCATATTAAGAATTTGGAGTGGTGTTTTTTAAGCATGGTTTGACCTAGAAGTTTGGTACAGTGGTGCTTATTTCTTCAAAATCGGTAAAATTATGAAAGCACTTCAGTGTTTGCATTTTTTATGTGAAAATAATGGTCATCATGACAGTTTTTTTCTGACACTTCCTTGTTTGTAATCATCAATTCCATCTTTTCTTTGGTTAGGTCTACCTCTGTTGGTTCAAAGAACAATTGCAAGGACGATCGTACTTCAGGAGATAGTGGGAAAAGGTAGATTTGGTGAGGTCTGGCATGGAAGATGGTGTGGGGAAGATGTGGCTGTAAAAATCTTCTCCTCCAGAGATGAAAGATCTTGGTTTCGGGAGGCAGAAATTTATCAGACGGTCATGCTGAGACATGAAAACATACTTGGTTTCATTGCTGCTGATAACAAAGGTATTTTCTAATTGGGTTCAGCAAGTAAACATGTTATGCCCATCATCAGATCACCATCAATAATTTCTTTGTTTTAATAAAATACGTAAAAGTCTAATTTCTTTATTGAGGATAGAAAATGGTTTTCCTCTTTTCCACAGATAAATGTACAGAACCGTACAGTAAAGGCAGGGCAAACGAGTGATATGAAATCATGATACCATAGCCAGGTTGATATTTAAAGTATTTGGTGACTGGTATGGCAGAGGAATCAACCAATCAGAAGCTTCAATTGGAACAGAGTCCTGGGAGAGCCCTGCCAGTCTAGCTTTTATCCCTTACTTGCTGGTCCATGAAGAGATTGGGAGGCATCTTGTCAGAGGGTGGTGGGAGGTGGGGGAGGTTGCTTTGGGTGTCTAGGGCAAAGGGATGACATTGGAATTTTGAGTAGCAACTGTTAGCCAATGAGGACAGAAATATTTCAATATTTTAATAACCAGTACAGACATAACAGTGAATGCTAGTTGAATATTCACCTTTGCCAGGACTGTACTTCTCCTCTCTATAAATAGGCTTCAACTCTGGACTCAAATTCTCTATGAACATTGTCAGAATGGCAGCAAGCAAATCAATTTTAGTGAAATTTTCTATCAATGTACTTTGAGTATGAATTATATTGAGGTTTAACATCAACAACCTCAAACAGTATATGACTTTTTGAGATTTGTGGAGCAAGACAGAGCATCAGCTTAGGTATTGAAATCAATATTCATAAAATACAGTATAAATCCCCGAGTAATCAGGGACTGGATATAATTTATGGATCACCTATGCTTTCCTTATTCTTTTTGCATAGCTTTTATTTATTTAACTGTGCATTAGTTCCCATAACAAAGGGCAACAGGGCACAAAGATGAGCAAAACATGATCCAGTCCATTTTTTTTTTTTAATTCAAAGCAGTAATACTCATGAAGAACTTCGGTGAGGTAGAGATTGTAACCTCTATCTAAAAAATTATCTGTGGATATCAGGGACCCACCATTAACTATGGAAATTAAAATCTATGATTATTTTTATCTATTATAAGCTTGATTATTACTAATCAGATGACAAAAGAGAGGCTTAGAATTACTGTACACTTTGGCCTTAGTTATGTTTGTAGACAGTATGTGTTTTCTGATTTGCCAGGTATAAACTGAGTAAAGCCAACATGAGCTTTAAACAAGAAATGTTCTTTCCAAATTCTTACCTCTACATACTTTGAAAATATATCCAGACTATTGAAAATGAGACATTTCTTAGTAACCTAAGACCTTTTTCTTATCCTTCCTAAGATTGAGCTGAAGTGTACTTGCTGATTAGATTAATTAGCATTGTTGTCAAAGCAGTGACGACTTTAGTTATATGGATCATCTTGATGGGCCTAATTTAATCATTATGTTTATTTGATTATAAAACAATAGGCCCAAGGGAGATCATCCTTGATTGTCTCTTCTTCAGTTTAACTGGTCTACCTTTGTCACTGGCTTACTTATCAGTGGCTTTGTGCATGACTTTAAATGACCTCCAACATCGCTTTCATCCTCATTTCTAAATCTTTTGTGGTATTTATAGTTCCACTGGTTAGTCAACGGTCTGACAGAGACATTGATATGAGAGGGCAAGATAGTCACTGGCACTGAGCAGGGAGAGAGGTAGAATAAGGATTAGTTTTGTACATGGTCAGTTTATTACTGAACTTTGTCATGTAATGTTGATTTTGTATTCGTAGGAAATTTTATCACTACCCGGATTTGGAAATTAAATATTTGGATTAAGAGTAGCTCTTGTACATAAAGCATTTAATAGAAGAAGTCCCTAACAAATGTTCATTATCGCTTCCTTTCTCTGAGCGTCAGAACTGGTCAGGACTGCCCCGGGCTGTTGTAGACACTTCCAAAAGCTAAAGCTAACTCCAGGGACTCTAATACCTGGAGAAGGTTTAGGCTAATTTCTGTTCTGCTAAAAATATTTTATAAGCTGGATTAGCTTTTGGTTGAATAAAGTAAATTACTTGAAAATGTCTAGTAACTGTATTTGGCTCTTAAGGTAAACTTTTGGGGAAAATCATCAACTTCATATTTTGAAAGGTGAACAATGTGAACATTCTTAGAATTGTAGAGCTTTTATTACAGTAATAACACTTTGTGTAAATTTTTTGCATTTCTTGTTTGTACTGGAACAATCTTTCTTAAAAGCTCAGAGTAATTTACAGCACAACACTGAGCCTAAATTCATCTGTCAGTGGTTTCTTCTAGAATATGGTACCATCAGTATATAAAGAGAATAAGAAAGGAGTTGTTCACTTAATCAGAATCACTCTCATAGCTTCCTGTAGCTCTGGTGGATACATACAACAGGTTCTAGTATATCAATATCTTCAGGGATTCAGTGAGATATTTTACTTTGCTGATTTGGACTGTCAGCATCCTCACTAAAGGAATTAGCTTTGCTTTGTGAACAATACAGATTTACTTTAAATACTGACATTTGCTAAAAGCTTTTGGTTTCATTCTCAACATATATTTATAGCAATAAAGAGACTTTTTCCCATTTAGATAATGGAACTTGGACTCAACTTTGGCTTGTCTCCGAATATCATGAACTGGGTTCCTTATATGACTATTTGAATAGAAATATAGTGACCGTGGCTGGCATGATCAAACTGGCCCTTTCGATAGCTAGTGGTCTGGCCCACCTACATATGGAGATTGTTGGTACACAAGGTACGTGTTTTCTTTCTGAGTTTTTTCTGCTTAAATATGAGGATAGAAACACCAAGCTGTGTTTTAGTGTTTAGTTGTATTTTAGTTTATTACAAATGACTATCAAATGTAAAGAAATACTAAGTTACTTTAAAAAGCTGAGGATATTATCATAATACAGCCAACTCTCATCTATGTACTCATCATTTTGTATATTAGCCATAATAATATTTTTACACCTGGTGGCTCCAACTTTGCCATTTAGCACACATCCCTGGAAGATCTTGCTTTGGTGGCAAATGCTCTATATTCAGAGAATATAAATACTTTAAATATTTACCTTTGATAGCTAAAATAATTGGAAATGTAATGTGACCTTAAAAAATATTTACATATAATGGACTCAAAGATCAAATAATACCCACTGTCTTTTCTATTTATTGAGTTAATAAAGAATTTGCTCTAGAAAGTCATTAGTCCAATCAGGGCAGTGGTCCTCAAATTTGGATTTATGATCCCTTAAACTCTTAAAAATTATTGAGGACCCAAAGGTTTTTGTGTATTTGGGTTCTATCAATATTTACTCTATTAGAAACTAACATTGAAAAATTCAAAAAGTATTTATTAATTTACTTAATAATAACTAATTATTAAACAAGTTTCAAAAATTTGCATCTTTTTTATAATACAAAAACCAATCTAGTGAAAATATGGTTTTGTTTTACATTTTTGAAATCTCTTTAATGTCTGACTTAATGTCTGGATTTTCAAGCATGTTCTTCATTCAGTTGTTCCTTTATGTTTTGGTTGAAGTATGTGAAGAAAATGTAATATCCCACAGATAGGTATTTGGAAAAGAGTCTCAAAGACTCCCAGGGATTTTGGGGTCACATTTGAGAACTGCTGGTCTAGGGTAGTAAAAGTTTGAAACTTGTTTTGTAAGAGTTTATTTGCTATGTTCTTATGTAGTTGTAGTAATGCTAATTCTTTCCCTGTTCACGCAAAGGAAATTTATTAGTGGCTACTAAGTGCTACCTAGGGTCCTAAGCATCAAAGTCATGCTGATGGGTGATGAGTAACACCCAGGCATTGCCCTGAGGCAGCTTACAGTCCAGTTGGGAGAGACAGATAATTAAACACACATGTAAATGAACAATATAATTTAGATAGTAATAAGGGTTATGAAGAAGGCAAAATGACGTACTCTGTGGAGACTGACAGGGGATGTGGAATGTGTGGTCAGAGAAGACCTATCTTCAGAGGTGACTTTTGAGCCAGGTCTTCAAAGTGATTCCTTTTAGAGAGAGTCGGTCTTCAGTAACAACAACAACAAAATGAGTATTCTTCTCTTATGCTTCATAGGTAAACCTGCTATTGCTCATCGAGATATAAAATCAAAGAATATCTTAGTGAAAAAATGTGAAACTTGTGCCATAGCAGATTTGGGGCTGGCTGTGAAGCATGATTCAGTACTGAACACGATTGACATACCTCAGAATCCTAAAGTGGGAACCAAAAGGTAAGATCACTAACTTTGGTGGTGTGCTCAGACATATGGCCGCCCTGTAAACATGAAATCCTGGGATGAGTGTGTGGGTTTTTTTGGGGGTGGGGGTCCAAATGAAAAATCATTAGGCCCAAGAAAGCAAGGAGTCTTCTCTGGGTCATTGAGAAGTAAGTGACACAATGGTTAAAAAGCAAGGACACTTGGCCTTTTAGTCATATAGATAGTAGCCATTTGGGTGGGGAATGCAGTAGAGAGGGATAGTGGAAGAGATGGTGATACATTATTTTGAGTGGGTCAGTTTCTGAGAATACATTTTCCTATGGATAGGAGGGAAAAAAATGTCATCAAAACAAGTATGAGAGAAGCAGAACATACTACATATATATTACGACAGACCCATTAGTAATGGGATTTCTGGTGGTTTCTTGTTCTGGCCAGCCTGTGGCCATATGGCCTGCATACTTCCATTTCCTTTTATTTGAATATCAGGCTCATGCTACTTTGACATAATTCCTGGGTTTTTTTTTTTTTTTTTTTAATTCCTGGGTTCTTGATCTTGAAGTCAGAAAACAACCAAAACATTTTCCTGGAGTTGTCAAAGGCTCTTCTGAGTAGGAGATTTCTGGTACAGTTGACCTCCAAGCCATGTTTGAGATTCTAAGCCTATCCATCTGAGTCCTTCCCATGGTTCCCTAGGAAAATTTAATGAGGCCCCAGGAACACTTCAGGGCAGTTTATTCAAACTGGGCAGCCCTACGGAACTTCTTTTCCCTATAAAAAGTAAGCCTTGGCTTGCCCATCAGACTGTCTCCACATCAGGGACCCCTCAGGGAAGCCTTGGATGCTGGACTCCTTCAGAGAATCTAAACCTTTTAAGAGTTTGGGAGGGTATTGCATCCTCCTCTTAATATTCTGGGAAATCGTGAAAATCCCCTTCGGATAGCTAGGCTCCGTCAGGTCCCATGGACTGTAGATTTCTTTGGTTTAGTCTTATTCAAACAAGGCTGTCATTTTCTTGTAGCCAATATATAATGTGTATATATGTCTGGAAGCCACTGTATAATAAAATTGTTCATTCAGAGAAGATGTTTATGGAATGCTGCTGAGCACTGTGTTAGAGTCCTGGGGGCACCATGATGAATAAGAGATGCTCTTTGCCCTCAAGGAACTTTCCATGGCAACGTTTGTTGGTGGAGGTTGAGTTCCGTCTCTCCTATTGAATGCTTTGCTTGCTGAATTTCCCTCTAGCTTGTCCTTTGCAAGTATTTGGCTCCTGGCATCTGTGCTTTGACACACTGAGTAGGATGACTTCTAGTTTTATTTCAAACATTTTTAAACTTATAGTTCAGTCAGTAGCTGTATTACTTAAATTTAATTTATTATAGTGGCTTAGATCTACTTTTAAAATTGATGTAAGCTATTAATTCATATTTTATGTGAGGATTTATTAAGATTGTATTTTACTGGATTGCTGTAAAGTCATACAGAAGATCTGAAATGTGCATGTTTTTGAAGGTATATGGCTCCTGAAATGCTTGATGATACAATGAATGTGAATATCTTTGAGTCCTTCAAACGAGCCGACATCTATTCTGTTGGTCTGGTTTATTGGGAAATAGCCCGAAGGTGCTCAGTTGGAGGTAAGATGTTGGAGATATTCTTTGTATCTGTCTTTCCTTGATACTCTGAATACAAGATATTTTTTCTATGTATTTTTTTCTAAGCACTGTATTGAGTCATTTTTTATAATATTTAAGAGTATACCTTTTGGTGATATCTTTCCAGTTTCAAGAGTGGAGCATCCTACATATAATGATGATTTTGTATTATGATTACTGCTCAGGTGGGGGTGACAGTTCTCTTGATAATTCTGATTTTCTTAATGATACTTTGCAAAGCACTTGAAAATTTTCTTGAGTTTCTGTGCAGTTAGCTGTAGCTCTATTTTCTACCAGAAATTGAACCCGAAGATGTTAAAACTTTACCAAAAGCCACAGGACTTGAAGTCTTCTAGTTTTCAGGCTTTTCCTGTTTGTTTGTTTGTTTTGTTGGCTGTTGTTGCTTCTTCTCTGTGTTAATGAATGTAGAAGTGAGAAAGTGGAGGCCAGAGGTGAGCAGAGACTAACTTCCTGACTCTACTGCTCCTAGCTGTTTAGAGATTAATAATGAGAGGAGGAAGAGTTTGAAAGGATGAAACCCTACAAATGCAGCCTCTGAAGTTGTGGCATCCGTGGAGAAAAGTTAACTACTGGTAGGAAACGGATTAGAGTTTTCACTTTCCAGTGAGACAGACTTCAAACTAAGCCGTGGTTTAGCAGATTCCTGAATGTCTGACTTTAGGCAAGTTACTTGGTCTCACTTTCCTCATCCGTAAAATTAATAATAAAACTGACCCCTTGGGCTTTGAGGATTTAACGGATTCATTTGGTTAATTAATTAGTACAGAGCATAGTACAGAGTAAACATTCACTAAAAGAGCTGTCATTATCAGACCACTGTCAGTTTTGTATTTTGTATTGATATCATTGTGCCTTACACCAATTTCATTTTTTAAAAAATGAGTAAAAAATTTTTTTAAACTTACAAGGGTAAAATTCTTTTGAATGAGAAAACATACTTTTCCCCTTTTTATTAACAGATAAGATAGTAAACCATTCAGGAAGATGAAGTTATTTATTATTTATTTATTTCTAAAGATTTTATTTATTTTTTTAACAGAGGGAGAGAGAGAGCACAAGCAGGGGAAGTGGCAGGCAGAGGGAGAGGGAGAAGCAAGCCCCCCCGCCAATCAGGGAGCCCGATGTGGGGCTTGATCCCAGGACCCTGGGACCATGATCCGAGCCAAAGGCAGACACCCAACCAACTGAGCCACCCAGGCACCCCAGATGAAGCTATTTATAGCAGCAGTAGAATTAGAGTGGAATTCTCGAGCCTGGGATTGTGTTCTAGATCTGCCACTTATGAGCTCTTTGATCTTGAGCAAACTGGTGACTCTTTGTGCCTCAGTTTCCTCATTCTGTAAAGGAGGGATAATATGGTAACTCCTAGTCAGAGGTTTTGAGGAATAATTAAAATATGTAAAGGGTTTAGGACAATGTGTGGTAAATAGCAAGATTCAAACATGTTTGTAATAATTTTTTAAAATTTCATATTAATATTTTTCTAGATCTGCTTTTAGGTTATTTTCCTTAAATTTTCTTCAACCTTTGAAATAGTAAGTTAGTTAACATAATAGTAGGGCATTTCTTAAATATTGTAAATTGAAAAGACTGTTAAAACAATTTTATGAGGAAATTCTCAAGTTCAGGTAACATTCTGATAATTAAGTTCAGGTCTTTGTATTTGAGACTCTTTAAATATGAAACTTCATGTTGAATTGTCCATCTTGAGTACCTTTGCTGCTTCTTTGGCACATTCTCAGGTACAGTACTTCTAAAATCCAAATGTAAGAAATTCAACTTTTAAAAGATTGCCTATCAATTTTCAAAAAGAGAAAGCTATTCTGTTTAATGAAAAGGTTATTTAATGTGTCTGTTAGCCATTTGTATGTCTTCTTCGGAGAAGTGTCTGTTCATGTCTTCTGCCCATTTTTTGACTTGATTATTTGTTTTTTGGGTGCTGCGTTTGAGAAGTTCTTTATAGATCTTGGATACCAGGCCTTTATCTGTAGTGTCATTTGCAAATATCTTCTCCCACTCTGTGGGTTGCCTCTTTGTTTTGCTGACTGTTTCCTTTGTTGTGCAGAAGATTTTATCATTAGCCATCAGGGAAATTCAAATCAAAACCACATTGAGATACCACCTTACACCAGTTAGAATGGCAAAAATTGACAAGGCAAGAAACAACAAATGTTGGAGAGGTTGTGGAGAAAGGGGAACCCTCTTACACTGTTGGTGGGAATGCGAGTTGGTACAGCCACTTTGGAAAACAGTGTGGAAGTGCCTCAAAAAATTGAAAATAGAGCTACCCTATGACCCAGCATTTGCAGTACTGGGTATTTAC